AATAGATTCAATGAAGTGAGACCAGAAACCACTTAAGCTACTATTGCATAATTTAGGCAAGAAATGAAGATCTGAAGACACAGATAGCAAATGAGGAAGTGATGAGATCTGGATGATTTTTTTTTTTTTTTTTTTTTTGAGACAGAGTCTCTGTCTGTCTCCTAGCCTGGAATGCAGTGGCGCAATCTCAGCTCACTGCAACCTCTGCCTTCTGGGTTCCAGCAATTCTCCTGCCTCAGCCTCCCTCTCAGTAGCTGGGACTACAAGCGTACACCACCACACCCAGCTAATTTTTTGTATTTTTAGTAGAGATGGGGTTTCACCATGTATTGGCCAGATTGGTTGCGAACTCCTCACCTCAAGTGATCCTCCCACCTCAGCCTCCCAAATGACTCTAAAACTTGTATGCAATAAAAGATTTAAACAAAAATGAGAACATGGGACAATGGGGTATTTTACCAAGCAGTAATTAATCTTCATTCACAGAGGCTATGCTTACTTACTATTTAGCACCTGGAGAAGCTAGATTTTAACATCCTCTTATATATGAAACTATTATTTTTAATCATGAAATGAAATGAGTTAATAGTACTAATGGCCAGGAAAAAATGCAGGCAGTGAAAATATTCTTCTATTGAAACTGTATTTTATAACTATTAGTAAAAAGTAAATGATAAAATCAACATTGCAATACAAAAAAAGATAGTGGGTTAATAATTTGAAGTTATTGATCATTTTTTTAAAAAGGAAAAACATTTTTACATATTGATCTGTCACAGTGGTGAATAGTATAGCTTTCGTTTTTGAAAACTTAATAATTTCTTCAGAATTTATCTTTTCATATTGAGGCTCAGTACACCATAGCCAGATTTGTAAGTCTATACTCATACTTGATGGAAGAACACTATTTTTAAATTTTAATTTTGAAAGTTTTTCTCATGAAGCAACTGCTACACAGAGAAAATAAGTTCAGCAGAGATTCTTAAATTTTCATGTTACAATAAATTCCAGAAATTCCCATTTTCCATGCCTTTCAGGAATCAAGTCTAATGATTTTTCAGTGTCTTCACAGTTAAAATATTTTAAACACAAGCTCATAGTCCCATATAATGACAGAATTGAGGCAACTCAAAATCCTTTCATTGATTTTAAAATCACTGTACCATTGTTATTTCTAATGTGCTTAAATATAATATATTGTACCACAGGGTTGGAGGCACACACTTTGCTGAAGTAATTTTGAATAATTTCAGATTGCTACCAACTTTCTCTTGAAAAGAACGCACATAGCTGAATCCACCTGTATCAGGGAAGACTATAAGTAGAAGACTATAATTGGGAATTTTCATAATTAACTGTTGTGTGAAGTGTGGTTATTTATTACAGGATAAGTCACAAAATGTGCTAATTTAAAGCTTACATGTATGCCATTAAAATTCAACAGTTTATAGCTTAGACCACCTTTTTTCAGGGAGGAGTGCTTTTTTTTTAAACAAATTTGATTATTATTGCTGGGGCATGATGATAATAGAAAGCATGCTAACTTGGTTTGATTTTTGTTTGTAAATTGCATACAGACGGTACACCCACTTAATTGCCTATTCTTGGGGAGGTGGGCAGCACTTTTCACCACCCTTCCCTTGATGTACGTAAATAGAGTGAAAAGGATTAAATATAGGGAGACCACAAAAGACACTGGTTGGAATCCAAAAATAGTATATGATGAAGTCCTGAATTTGGTTATTTAGGAGACAGCAGGAATGTAAAGGAAGCAATAGATTTAAGAAATGACCAGAGATTAATAAATGGAATTTAAACTAAGAAAACTTTGAGCTAGAATGACTTGGAAAATGGTATTTTGACAGAGATGTTTTAAGGGTTGGTTTGTGGAGGAAGACATTATAATGGTAGCATGAAACAATTGTTTTGCACTAGCGTGTTTGCTTCTCACAGTAGGATATTGGCAAAGTGGAATTATGTAAATATTAAAATAACCAAGGAAAGTTTTAAACCATAAATATTTTCAAACAGCTAACACACTGAACTCTTATTATTAAAAAGATTTGGAGTTTCACTTAAACTACTACACTTTGTCATTTAAAAATGAGTTTGTCTTTAGAAAACTGATCAAATTATGATAATTCAGAATAACATTGGATTTTGTGATTTGAGTTACATTATATAATTCTGGTATTTTAGGAAAATCATTCATTTCATTCTTTCTGTATCAGGTGAATTTAGAGTTTACTGCCTGATTCTGTGTGTAATCTGATTCTTCAGATTCCCAGCACAGTTTTTGCTTGTCTGTAGATACCGTTATTACAATCACATGTGAAACTTGAGGGATAATAGGGTAGGTTCCATTGGATTCACCGTAGCTGTTAATTCAAATAGGATCCTTCCAGATGAGTTCATTATAGATGTTATTTAACATTGAATCCTTATTAAAATTTTTTTCAATGGTTAATAGATATTGTGGACTGTAGTGTATGTTCAGTAGGTTTCCTTTTGCCCTCATTTATTCCACCCAACAACTGGCCTACGATCTGTTCTTCAAACATACAAGGCATGCTCCTATCTTGGTTATCTTTTACAATTGTTTTTCCCTCTATCTGGAATGGTTTCCTTTCATATCTGTGTAGCTTACTTCCTGTCTTCTTTCAGATCTCTGTGCACATGTCATCTCAGGGAACTCTTTCCTGATCACTCTATTTATAATTACAACTTAAATCACCTTCCTGTCCCTCTTTTCTACTTAATTTTCTCCTTAGCAGCTATCACTATCTGGCAGGCCATATATTTTACTGCCTCATTGTCTATTTCCCCTTCCCTAGAATATTAGTTTCATGTGAGTAGGAACTGTATCTATCTAGTTGCCTTCTGAATGCATTATACCTAAAACAGTACCTGGAATAAAGCAGATATTAAACTATTTGAATGAATTAAAAAAAAAAAAAAGTAGGAACGAGTGTGGGAATGAATGAATAAAAATATGAATGGTTAAAAACATATATGAGTAAATAATTTAGATGAAAAGTACTCTGATAATTACCTGTATTTTTGTGCAGTAGAAATAAGATAACCCATTGGCCGGGCACAGTGGCTCCTGACTATAATTCCAGAAGAGGCTGCGCGTGGATGGATCACTTGAGGTCAGGAGTTCCAAACCAGCCTAGCCAATATGGGAAACTCTGTCTCTACTAAAATTAGAAAAATTAGTCAGGAGTGGTGGCAGGCATCTGTAATTCCAACTACATGGGAGGCTGAGGCAGGAGAATTACTTGAACCCAGGAGGCAGAGATTGCAGTGAGCGAAGATCACACCACTGCACTCCAGCCTGGGTGACAAGAGCGAGATTCCGTCTAAAAAAAAAAATCAGATAACCCATTATAAAATTGACTTTTTTAGATATGGGTAAGTTTTTGCTTTTTTGCCCAGCAATATTTAAGTCGATATCAAATGTTATTTAGCTACAGTAATGTTTGGAGTGCTATAAAATTTGAAATCAATACATTTGTTACTTTTTTAAAAGTTTATTATGTGTAAGGAAAGAATGGCTTTCCAGTTTTGATAGAATTAAGCAATATAGGGAACAGATTTTTTAATTTTTTTTAAGATAGAGCCTTGCTTTATTGACCGTGCTGAATGGATTGCTGTGGTACAGTCACAGCTCCTGCAGCCTCAACCTCCTGGGCTCAAGCACTCCTCCGACTTCAGCCTCCTGAGTAGCTAGGACCATAGGCACATCACCATGCCTAGCTTTTTATTTTATTTTATTTTATTTTATTTTATTTTTATTTTTTGTGTAGACAATCTCCCTGTGTTGCCCAGGCTGGTCTTAAACGCCTAGGCTCAAGTGAATCTTCCTGCCTTGGCCTCCCAAAGGCCTATAAGTGCTGAAATTATAGGCGTGAGCCACCTCACCTGGCCAAGAAGTCTTCATTCTTTCTGATAATATATCAAGTATCCCTTTATCAGCCCAGTAATGTTTATGCAATCTGGCTAGGCTAGATTTGTAGTGATGAGAGCTCTTTTTTTTTTTTTTTTTTTTCACATAAACTCTAAAGGTATGGGAAGTCTGACTTTCAAATCAATAGAGTAAAATATTTTAGAGCCACTTAAATACACTGGTAGGTGCAAGACTCATCAGTCTGTCAGAACCATAGTAATTGTGTATTGGAGAAATTGGAACCACTTTATCTCTGGCTGGCCCTGGGCTGCCTGCTTACCTGTTAATTTTGAGTTTCAGTGCAATTAACAGATTATGAGATTATTTAATTTTTATCTTACAAAAAATTAAAACTTTCCTCATTGAAAACTTTAAAAGGTAGATGATCTGACTCCTCCAAACCCCTCAACCCACACCAACATTGCATGCAATGCTGCCCACCTACATACAGATGTGCACAGTGTAGATATGGCACTATCCAAAGTGTGAGGTGAAAAATTAGTTGTACTCTACAAGATGATACTGAATATATTAAAGCTACTAGATTGTGACTCCCCAAGGACCTGCTGGATTCTGAGTTTTCTTCTCCTTTTTGAGTATGGAGATTATGGTTTCACATTAGGGCAATTCATCTAACAATAACTGCTTTGCCAAAATCTGCTTTTTTTTTTTTTTTTTTTTTTGCTTTGAGCAAGTGCTGCACTTAATTCTATACTGTGTGCTTGTGTTCATCACTTTTATCTTTGTATACTAGCATGTTTGTGGTGGTTTGTTTTCTCTTTGATGTTTTGACCGATTGACATATTAGATATTTTCTCATCTATAAGAAACTATTTTTTAAAGTTTATATTCTATTCCCTTTTCTTTCCAACTTAATGCACTAAGCATCACTTTAAAATTCTTTTGCTTCTAGGATTCTAACATATTTGTGCCTTATGGCTTCTGCTCTTTGATAAATTTTCAAGTTTGTATGAAAACATTCAGTTTACAGACGCTATAGCCTTTATCTTGTACTTCCAGGCAAATATTACAGTTCCTTATTTTTCAACAGCTTCGCAAAGGCTGAAAAATTTGCCTCGCACTTCCCTCAAAGCCAAACAGTTGCTTCAAACTTCATCTACAAAAAGAGGTAACTACAGCCTCTTACTCAGTTTAAAATTTCAGCATTATCTAGTTAAATCTTAAGCCTTTTGGCATACTGAGTCAGTAGTGTCTGTAAGGTACGTTTTAGTCTTTTTTTAAAAAAAAATAATAAAATGTGAGGATTTATTCTGTTATTTAGATAAATTCAGAAGAAATATTTTCTGCAGAGGTATGTATTGGGTTGCTTTTCTGAAAGGAGTAAATTGATAGAGAATTTATTTTTCTTACCATCTTAAAATGAAAGGTCATTATTTCAACTTTATGCCAACTGAACTTCATAAGTGCTTTAAAATGAACCAAATGTCAGACTATCTGTATGGTGATGTTTTTTCCGCAGACTTCTATTTTTGGTTTTACTTATCCATCTGTATGATAAAATGGGAGCACTTCCACATTAGAAGGTAATTGAAGTTAAATCACAAATTTTGGCTAACTGATACATTTGGAATGTTTATGGAGTGGTAGCTTTTATAATAATAGAGAGTTGAAGAAATACATGAAGGTTGGACATCAAAGCTATCCAGTATTGGTTCCAAGACACTGAATGTATGGGCAGCTAGACAGAGCAGCTAGAGGGAAGTAGAATTGAGAGAAAACAGTGGGATTGGATAGACCAGCAGCAATAAGAACAGAGGCCTTAGAGGAAATGGTATGAAACAAATAAAATGTGGAAAAATATTTTTCCAATCCAGAACATGTAGGTTTTCTGACAGCTTCAGACCTCAATAAATAACAAAAGTATATAATAGAGATAAATCACTAAAGAAAATTACGCTGGAAGAAGGAATTAGATTTTTTTGGAAAAACGATTTGGTTATGGTTACAAAAGTGCTATAGTAGATGTTTTGGCAAGTTTATTACTATAAATGTTTTCACAGTGATTTCTTGGATTAAGTATAACTTAAGGAATTGTTCTAGATAATAGAATTTGAAGAAAAGTCAAATAGGCAAATAAAAAAGTAGGATGTATGAATGTTTGTGTTTTAAATATCAGAAGTTGACCATAGGCCTCCAATGAATGTTTTTTGGTGCCATGGTCAGGTAAATTAATAATAGACTGGATAGATTATATTTGATGGGGAAGAAGGTGACTTAATAGGGGCCATTATAGAAAGGGGTTTTTATGAACTTATGTGGGAACTTTAGGCTTTTTTTTTTTTTTTTTTTGAGATGTCTCAATATTTTTGAGTACTTCCACGGCGAGGGGTGAGAGGCATATAAAAACATGTACCTGAAAACACTGTGGTATCTAAACTAGGTCAGGAGATTACTATACCATAATAAAAAAGTAGAAGATTTTAAGTTTATATAAATTTTATTGGTTGTTTGTCTCCTTCAGCTGCTTCATCATGGTTTTTGGAATCAAGTAGGTTTACATAATTTAAAATTTTTACTTAAAGATTTCATGTTGCTCTGTTGATCATAACTTCTGGCTGAATCTTTAAAAATTTGCTTATAGGGGTTATATTATCACTCTAAGCCGTGAAACTAGCCACCTGTATGATAAGATGACAGGAAAGCCCAAACAAAACTGTTACGACCTGGAATTCTTGGCATCTGGTTGTCTTGTTGACTTCAGGGGTGGGGGGACGGGGACAGGGGCACTGGGTGTGCTGTTCTGTTTTGTTCAATCCCTTATTTAACTTGATCCAGACTTCTATATTTTGTGGTTGGTATTGTGACATGGGCATTATCATTATCTACCTCTTTATAAATTTTAAACTGTTGAGAAATGGACACAGGAATAAGGTAAGATTTAAAATATTACCTTAATTATTGATGAATCTGAAATGGAGAATATCTTTTGGATCCAAGGCTAAAATTGATTTTCTGGTTTCCTCTGTCAAGACTTTGGGAGGGTGGGGCCTGTATTGACTGGCAGAAGTCTCTTCTCTTGTAGAGATGCGAGGCACACAGGAGACAGAGGCCATCTGTTCACAGGTACCTTTGGCATATTAAACATGTCCAATTAAGAAACATGGACCAAAGGTGATAAATCGGCACACAAATCAATTCATCCATCCTCGGGGTAAACCTGTATGATTTTTTAGAGAGCTAGTATATCTTAGGCTAACAGGATCATGGGAAGAGGAAAAAGATTACTTAACAATTGGAAATACAGTCACTTTGATTTTAATTGCATTTAGTAGTAGCAGGTGTTTGAAGATGGAAAGTCAGAACTGTGTTGCTTGACACAGTCACTCTATAAATATTTGTTGAACGAATATAGTCATGCTGCTAAAGTCAAAAAAGGTTGGATACGTTTTTTTTTTGCATTTCCTTTTTGCAAGTTTTTTTGTTTCTTCCAGCCCATCCTATTCTGAGGAAAACAATCCAGTGTATGTTTTTAAGATTTCATGGAAGTGACTATTTAAACTGCTTTGGGAAAGATTTTATTCATTTATTCATTCCCCGTTGTTAGGCACTGAGTGAAGTGGAGGTAAATAGGGCAGAGACCTCACCAAGCCGGGGGAAAAAAATGAAGACTAACTAGACAAAGCGAATGCAGAAATATGAGGATATTAATTCTTTCTTAGTTGCCTCTTTCCTTCTAAATACCCCATGAAAAAGTGGGCAAAGGACATGAACAGACACTTCTCAAAAGAAGACATTCATGCAGCCAACAAACATGAAAGTTTTTGCCTCTTTCCTTCTGTATTTTGAAGGAAATTCATATTTTGCCTGTTTTATAGTTATTTAGAAGGAAAAGGGTAACTAAGAAGGAATAATGGTAATTTTTTAATACTTTTCATTATATTTTGACATATTCAAGTTGAAATAAACCATATTTATAGAAGATCTTATTTATAAGATGTCTTTTCTTTTTCCATCAATTTTTAAGTTTTGGGGTACATGTGCAGTTTGTGCAGGTTTGTTACATAGGTAAATGTATGCCATGGTGGTTTGTTGCACAGATCAACCCATCACCTAGGGATTAAACCCAGCATTCATTAGCTATTCTTCCTGATGCTGTCCCTTCCCCTGCTGCCCGTGATAGCCCGCAGTGTGTGTTGTTTTCCCCAGTGTGTCCATGTGTTCTTATTGTTCAGCTCCCACTTACAAGTCAGAACATGTGGTGTTTGGTTTTCTGTTCCTGCATTAGTTTATGGAGGGTAACAGCTTCCAACTCCATCTGTGTCCCTGCAAAGGACATGAACTCATTCTTTTTTATGGTTGCATTGTATTCCATGGTGTATATGTACCACATTTTCTTTATCCAGTCTATCATTAATGGGTATTTGGGTTAACTCTATGTCCTTGCTATTGTGAATAGTGCTGTAGTGAATGTACACATGCATATGTCTTTATAAAAGAGTGATTTATATTCCTTTGAGTATATACACAGTAATGGACTTGCTGGATCAAATGGTATTTCTGCTTTTAGCTCTTTGAGGAATCACCACACTGTCTTCCACAACAGTTGGACTAATTTACACTCCCACCAACAGTGTAAAAGTGTCCCTTTTTTTCTGCAGCCTTGTCAGCATCTGTTGTTTCTTGACTTTTTAATAATTGTCATTATTATTTCATCTCACTGTGGTTTTGATTTGCATTTCTCTAATGGTTAATGATGTTTAGCCTTTTTTCATGTTTGTTGGCCCCATGAATGTCTTATTTTGACAAGTGTCTGTTTATGTTCTTTGCTCACTTTTTAATAGGGTTGCTTTTTTCTTGTAAATTTGTTTAAGTTCCTTGTAGACTCTGGATATTAGACCTTTGTCAGATGGATAGATTGCAAAAAATTTTCTCCCATTCTGTAGGTTGCCTGTTCATGCTAATAGTTTCTTTTGCTGTGCAGAAGCTTTTTAGTTTAATTAGATCCAGTTTGTCAGTTTTTGCTTTTGTTGCAATTGCTTTCTGCATTTTGTCTTGCAGTGTTTACCCATGCCTATGTCCTGAATGGTATTGCCTAGGTTTTCTTCTAGGGTTTTTGTAAAGTGGGGTTTTACATTAAAGTCATTAATCTATCTTGAGTTAATTTTTGTATAAGGTATAAGGAAGGGGTCTAGTTTCAATTTTCTGCATATGGCTAACCAGTTCTCCTAGCACCATGTATTAAATAGGGAATCCTTTCCCTGTTTTTTTTCATGTTTGTCAAAGATTAGATATTTGTAGATGTGCAGTCTTATTTCTGATTTCTCCATTCTGTTCTGTTGGTCTGTGTGTCTGTTCTTGTACTCGTACAATGCTGTTTTGGTTACTGTAGCCTTGTAGTATAGTTTGAAGTCAGGTAGCATGATGCTCCCAGCTTTGTTCCTTTTCTTAGGATTGTCTTTGATATTTGTTCTGTTTTTTGGTTCCATACGAATTTTAAAATAGTTCTTTTCTATTTCTGTGAAGAATGTCAATGGTAGTTTAATGGGAATAGCATTGAATCTATAAATTACTTTAGGCATTACTACCACTTTTACACTATTACGATATTGATTCTTCCTATCCATGAGCATGGAATGTTTTTCCATTTGTTTGTTTCCTCTCTGATTTCCTTAAGCAGTGATTTGTAGTTCTCCTTGAAGAGGCCCTTTATTTCCCTTGTTAGCTGTATTCCTAAGTATTTTATTCTTTTTGTAGCATTGTGAATGAGAGACCATTCATGATTTGGCTCTCTGCTTGCCCATTGTTGGTGTAGAAGAATGCTAGCAATTTTTGCACATTGACTTTATATCTTGGGATTTTGCTAAAGTTGCTTATCAGCTTAAGATGCTATTGGGCTGAAATGTTGGAGTTTTTTGGATGTCATCTGCAAATCAAGATAATTTGACTTCCTCTCTTCCTGTTTGAATATTCTTTATTTCTTTCTCTTGCCTGATTGCCCTGACCAGACCTGCAATACTTTGTTGAATAGGAGTTGGTGAGAGAGAGCATTGTGGTCTCATGCCGCTTTTCAAGGGGAATGCTTCCAGCTTTTGCCCATTTATTATGATACTGGCTGGGGTTTGTCATATATGGCTTTTTTTATTTTGAGGTACATGCCTTCAACACATA